GAGGAGAGGAGAAGATTAATAATGAATATCTGGTGAAACTAAGTTTATGCCGTTAAAAATTTATATCTTTATGATGTTTATCAATAAATTCAGCGTATTGAAGCAACATTTGTTTATTATTTTTGATATTTTTAAGCCCACTTTTACCAACTTTTTTTTTGTTACTTTATTAATATTATCGCACATTACAATTTTGTATTGTTATACCCTTGCAGAGGGTATTATAATTTTGGTCAAAAGTGTGCAACGCAGTGAAGGAGACATCTCCGACCCTATAAAGTATATATATTCTTGATCAGGATCACCTCCTGAGTTGATATAGCCATGTCCGTCTGTCCGTCTGTCCGTCTGTCCGTCTGTCCGTCTGTCTGTTTCTACGCAAACTAGTCTCTCAGTTTTAAAGCTATCGGATTGAAACTTTGCACACACCCTTCTTTCCTTTGCACGCAGTATATAAGTCGGAACGGCCGGGATCGGCCGACTATATCCTATAGCTGCCATATAACTGATTGATCGGAAATGCCATAACTTTGGTGTTTGTAAAGTTAGAAAGTTGGGATTTTCTATGGGTTTTATATTTGGCCAATCAATCCGACCTACCAAATTTCATAAGGATCGGCCGACTATATCCTATAGCTGCCATATAACTGATTGATCGGAAATGCCATAACTTTGGTGTTTTGTAAAGTTAGAAAATTGGGATTTTCTATGGATTTTATTTTTGGCCAATCAATCCGACCTACCAAATTTCATAAGGATCGGCCGACTATATCCTATAGCTGCCATATAACTGATTGATCGGAAATGCCATAACTTTGGTGTTTGTAAAGTTAGGAAGTTGGGATTTTCTATGGATTTTATTTTGGCCAATCAATCCGACCTACCAAATTTCATAAGGATCGGCCGACTATATCCTATAGCTGCCATATAACTGAACGATTGGAAATGCCATAACTTTGTTGTTGTTAAAGTTAGGAAGTTCGGATTTTTTATGAGTATTAAGAATGCATCATATGAATAATTTTGGAGAATATAATTTACAGAGTATTCTGCAAGGGTATATCAACTTCGGCTCCGCCCGAAGTTAGCTTTCCTTTCTTGTTTTATTTGAATTTCCCCCATCTAATAAGACACTTGTTGAGCCACGTAACATAACCACAGATATGGCAATCAAAAATACCCATATAAAGCTATGAAAAAAACATCCCTAACTAGAGGTTCTTATGGGGGTCTTCTAGTCTAGAGGCTCGATTTTTTCACAAATGTTTAATTTTGTCGAATTTTTTAAAAATATTATACATTTTTAATTTTTATTTTTATCGAAGAATATTCATGCCAAATTTCAAGTAAATCGACTGATTAGAACTTGAGATATTGTGGCTACTGCATCAAAAAAAGTAGTTTCACGTTTAAAGTTTTACGCTAAGTTTCGGGCAGCGTAACTGATAGAATATTACGTATAACTTTCATTATCTTAATCAGCTATCCCAGCTCCATATTGGAAATAAGGGTATTGTTATAGAAAGAAGGAAAGAAAGTTATTCATACTCAGGTAGCTCGGGCCTCCAGCCACCTATTGTTCCAGTCGTTCGCTCAACCGGTCTAGTTGCCACGTCTTTAAAACGGCTATAACTTTGAAAATAATTTTTGAAAAATCCTTTAGGGAGATATTTTTAAATATCAAAACTATCGAATTATTGAAAAAAATGTTAAATTTTTTTAAATTTAATGACTTAAAAGTCTTTTTTGGGTTTTTGGGGGGAGTCCCTGTCATCTCTTTTAATCTAATTTATCTTAAAATGATATAGAATTTTGGTGGGAGATATTTCAGGGGACTCCGCTTTAGTCACCATAACTGGAATGTGACGCTGGCTCGATCCAAAAGTTTACCGACAAACTCATTAGAATACTATGAACGCGTGTCTCGAGTTTTTTTTATAGAAATTAGCATATGGAACCAAAGTTAAACACCGAAGTGACGATATAGATTTAAATGACATTAAGCGAGGTTATAGATTTATAGTTAAAATAAAATTCTTAAAAATAGATTTTTTAAACATATATAAATTTTCTTCTAAGAACAAATATAAATTAGATTTATAATGTCGATAACTAGTTCTATCTCTAAGACCGATTAATAGTTATTGAAGTCACAACTTTTGCTACCGATGGTCGCGCAGGTGGACAAATTGCAAAAGAAACATAAAGTATTTTGAGAAAGAAAGTATATACCCTTGCAGTTATTACAAAACGATAACATTTCGATTGCTATGCCTATATTACTAAAAACAATGAAGCTATGTCGATTTTGCGCTGCATTTCGCCATCGTCTCTATGATAAAAGCGTAATTCCGATATAGTAAATAATATAATAATATTTTGATAAATAGAAAAACGGGAAAATGAAATTTTTTCATTTTAATTATTTTAAGTTTTTTTATTGTTTTTATGGCAGCTATATGATATATGTAGATGTCTGATTTTAATGTAATTAAAACCGGCTTGTTCTGACTTAAATACTACCAGCAATAGGACTAGTTTGCGTAGAAACGGACGGTGATGCTGATCAAGAATAGGGAAATGTCTCCTGTACTGCGTTGAAAGGTTTTGACTGAAATTATAATACCCTCTGCAAGGATATAAAAATTAGTCCTTAATCCTTACCATACATTCACCTACTTTTATTCGGAAGTCTAAATGCAAGAAAATATAAATTTTTGACGTCCAAAGTTTGCTTTTTTCTTATTTTTTATGAAAAAAATCAATATCGCTTGTGAAGTTGCTAAACCGGAACGGGTTTTCAATATGCCATAGATGTGGCTCATATTTAACTGTGCAAACCTAAGCAATATCACATCATTTTATTTTTGTGCGCGACTTAGTAAGCACCTGCTGCTATCTGCCGGGAAAAAAACCCAAGACTGTTCAATAAGTTAAGAAAAATTAGATCTTCAATATCCAAAAAAAAAAGATCACTTTAACAGCCGAAATGATTTTCGCAATGAAGTTGTACATTTCGATTTTACTGCTTATTTTTTTCTCAATAGGTTGCTATTCGGGTAAGTAACAAATGGCAACGATTGAAAACATTATATCCTGTTAAACGTTTTAAAAAAAATTTTTGAAGAGTGGAAATTCATAATTGTATAATTTGGTTGCTCATTTTTCTGAAAAATAACATAAATGTCTCTAAAATCCAAGTGCCGTCAGCTTTCCGAATTTAGCTCCAAATTTTGAACGTAAAGCAAAAACCTGCGAAGTCAACGTTATCGAGGACCCTAACAAATTTTTTTGGCTTGTTTTTCGCTTAACCAACGACCAATGTGCGCTTTGAATTTTTCCCGATTTTGGAATTTATGAAACCAATCTTGAATTTAAGATCTTCCTTTTTTGTAACTAATTAAATTCTCTTAAAGTGTTTTTAGATTGCAAACTCAATGAAAAGTGCGTGAAGCTACATAAGTGCCCTCACTTGTATAATGAGCAAACAGACTGGAAAGCAATCAAACACAGACAGTGCGGTTTCCATGGACACCACAAATATATCTGCTGCCCGAAACCAGGTTACGTCCTGCCAAATGAGACGATCTGTGGAAAATGGGGTTCAACTCATCGAATTAAAGGTGGCAAAGAGGCTCAGCCGAAAGAGATCCCCTGGATGGCCCTGATTCTATACCGGAATACAAGAACTTTAAAACCGGAACCGGACACCCTTTGCGCGGGGTCCCTGATCAACAACCGCTACATCCTGACCGCAGCACACTGTGTGAACAGGATGTATTTGCCAAAGCACAACGAGGTCTGGGCCGTTCGCCTTGGCGAGCATAAGCGATTCTCCAATCCTGACTATAGACATAGACATATAAGACACTTGGAGCATATAATCGAACATGAAGATTTTGACAGCACTCGACCTTTTGAGAACGACATCGCCCTGCTGAGACTCCAACTGCCAGTGCGGTGAGAAATGGATCATAACTAATGATTGACTTAAACAAAAACATAGAGTATAGTACTCTAGCTTGCCATTATTTAATTGCTTGTTTTATTTAATCAAATCCAATTTTTATTTCTCAGCTACACCAAAGCAATATCTCCCATTTGTGTACTCGGTAAGCATATCTTATCGAAACCCTACATAAGCGATATATTGGAAATAGCTGGTTGGGGCCGTACTGAAAAGAATATACCCAGTGCTGTCTTGATGAAGTCCAGCATAAAGGAAGTGAATGAAGTTCGATGCTCTAGGGAATATGACTTTTCGCAGGAGTCACAAATATGTGCCGGTGGTGAGGGTGTCAATGACACCTGTAAAGGCGACTCCGGCGGTCCGCTGATGGGCATCATGGGAAAAAGCTACGAAGAATTCGTGTATTTATATGGCATTACCTCATATGGAAAGAATGGCTTGGCAGGTGTTTACACCAAAACGAAATTCTTTTACTATTGGATTAAGATACATTTGGAACCTTAAAACCTGGCTGATTATTTCAAACGCTTTTATATGTATCATCGCCTACACCTGTTCCTCCGATTCCCCATTCTCCCGTACTACTAATTCGTGCCCAGCTTAAACTTTTTCCAAAACAAAAGTAGACGAAAGCGATTTTAATAACTTTACCTAAGAGAATTCCTGCTGCTAGAGTGGATAAATTTTCATTAACTCTAAAGTGGCACTGAAATACTGATACAACATTTTATTTATTATATTTTATTATTGCTTGATGGTTTCGTGAATTATAGTCGAATTTCATTAACTCGTTGCTCTCTATCTTGATGTATTTACAAGTCAAAGTTTTTGAAGCCAGATTGTGGTTCCAGTTTTGTAAATTCCACTAATAACTTACTGGGCACAATACTAACAAAAGCGAATAAATCAACCGATGAAACCGATTAAACCGATTAAAAGTAATGATCTAAGAATATAAATAAAGTGCACTTTTCTTCCAATCGAACATTCAAAAATATTCGTGTATCTTTATATAAATCTGTTGTAAAATAGGTTTTTTTGAATCTATTTAGCGTCAAATGGTAAACTCGAAAATAAAATAAAAACAAATTTAGGGCAAAATCAATACAACGTTTATAATTTCGAAAACGCTAAAGCAATCTTTATATACATAAATTTGATAAACCTTGGCATACCAAACATACTATTTTAAGAATGGTGGAACAAAACTGTTTACATTTTGACTTTTTTTTATTCGTCTATTTAGATTACACCATTTTTATTGCCAACAAGAAAGGAAGTAAATTTCGGCAAATCTTGCAGTTATTAAAAAACAACTATTTTTATTTCTATGCAAATATTAGTAAAAACAAGAAAGGAAGCAAACTTAGGCAAGCAGAAGTTTATATACCCTTGCAGTTATTGCAAATCGACTACATTTCGATTTGTATGCCTATATTACTAAAAACAATGAAGCTATGTCGATTTTGCGCTGCATGCTCGTTCCTTATATACTACCTGCAATAGAATAGACAGAAAGCTTTAAAACTGAGGGACTAATTCGCGTAGAAACAGACAAACGGACAGACAGACGGACAGACGGACATGCTTATATAAACTCAGGATATATAATATAAGTAGCTACAACTAATGCATTCGACCTATTTTTATGGTTTTTAAAAAGGGATTTGCGCAAGCAATGGGTGTCGCCAGGGTGTACAGTTTATTTGTTGTGTATCCCAAATTTTGTCCAACAAAAAATACCTGTCCTGTCCTTTTTTATATACCTAAAAACCGGACCTGTATACGCACAGATAGGGTAACGGAATTTCGTTAGCCTCTGTGATTTAAAAATAGAAACTGTCTTGATGGGAGAGAGGGAGAGAGAGGAAGAGAAAGTCTCTCTTAGAAATATTTGAGCATTTAAACTAGATCTGAAATTTTGTTGATTTGACCAAAGTAATTTTAGAATATAAGGCTGTATATTATTAATGTCTGGCTTGAACACTTTAAATTGGTCGAAAATAAAATTCTATTTTTGAAGAGATTAACTTAATAAAAATTATTTCATTTATGATAAATAATTTTGGTAGTAAATATATGCGACCCGCCAAATGGCCAAAGCGACATCTATATCTCAGTATGCGCGGCTTAGCTCGTAAAGCGTCATCTAAGAGTCGTTATTTTTGGGTGGCGTCTTGACTAGGATTGGACACAAAATACATTTAAACAAGAAAGGAAAGCTAACTTCGGGCGGAGCCGAAGTTGATATACCCTTGCAGAATACTCTGTAAATTATATTCTCCAAAATTATTCATATGATGCATTCTTAATACTCATAAAAAATCCCAACTTTCTAACTTTAAAAACACAAAAGTTATGGCATTTCCGATCAATCAGTTATATGGCAGCTATAGAATATAGTCGGCCGATCCTTATGAAATTTGGTAGGTCGGATTGATTGGCCAAATATAAAACCCATAGGAAATCCCAGCTTCCTAACTTTACAAACACCAAAGTTATGGCATTTCCGATCAATCAGTTATATGGCAGCTATAGAATATAGTCGGCCGATCCTTATGAAATTTGGTAGGTTGGATTGATTGGCCAAATATAAAACCCATAGGAAATCCCAGCTTCCTAACTTTACAAACACAAAAGTTATGGCATTTCCGATCAATCAGTTATATGGCAGCTATAGGATATAGTCGGCCGATCCTTATGAAATTTGGTAGGTCGGATTGATTGGCCAAAAATAAAACCCATAGTAAATCCCAGCTTCCTAACTTTACAAACACCAAAGTAATGGCATTTCCGATTAATCAGTTATATGGCAGCTATAGGATATAGTCGGCCGATCCCGGCCGTTCCGACTTATATACTGCGTGCAAAGGAAAGAAGGGTGTGTGCAAAGTTTCAATTCGATAGCTTTAAAACTGAGAGACTAGTTTGCGTAGAAACAGACAGACGGACAGACGGACAGACAGACGGACAGACGGACAGACGGACAGACGGACATGGCTATATCAACTCAGGAGGTGATCCTGATCAAGAATATATATACTTTATATGGTCGGAGATGTCTCCTTCACTGCGTTGCACACTTTTGACCAAAATTATAATACCCTCTGCAAGGGTATAAAAAGGGGAACCCACCCCAGTCAGGTGTATGACGTCTACCATCAGGTAGAAACACCTGCCGTGATCCTTTAAACGATTTACGCCGTCCAAGTTTTTAAGGATCCCGCTTGGCCGGAGCGGATCATGCACCTGTG